AACTAATTCAAAATTTTAAATTTTAATTTTAAAAATCTTAAAAATTGTCAAGTATCATGCCTGCCTCAATTTATTTTATTAGTACAATACATTTTATAACTCTAATAACTACCCCTTAATTCCTATTAGTTTAAATATTTTAAATTTATAGAATTTAAATTTAAATGTGAAATTTAATTCTTGAATCATGAATAGCTTCCCTGTCCTCTCCATTCCTAATAAAGGAGGAATTAAATGCATGTTTAAATCATTTTAGTTAATTAGTATAATAGATTTTCTCATTCTAATGAGAGAGGATTTCAACTAAGGACCAAGGAAAAGAAATATTTGCCAATGAGTTCCAAAAAAAATTAAAAATTTGCTAGACAATTTTTTGATCGAATTGAAATAAAATGGGTGGCTAAAAAGATTGAAATGCTTTTTTGCAAAATTTTTAAAACTTAATTAGTAATTAACTTTGCTTGTTAATTGCTTACTTGTGTTCATTAATTCTTTAACCGTACTTGTTAAATAATTGACTAGTTAATTCCATAACTCCATTATTTCAAGAACATGACTTGTTAATTTTATAACTTTGCTTGTTAATTTTTCAACATCATTTGTTAACTACTTAATGTGACTTGTGAATCTTTTACAAGACTTATTCACTCAATTTGATCAAAAGGTATAATCATTAATTGTTAACTTTCTTACTTCACTTATTAATATTATTGTAAACTATTTGATTTCACCTATTAATAATCATACTAATATCATTTATTAATTATCTAACTTTCAATTATTAATTTATCAATAGTAGTTGTAAATTACATAACTTGTCAATAATTATATTAGTTTAATCATTTTGTCTAAAATACAAAATTATTAGTTGTTAATTGTCTAACTTTACTTATTAATTTATCAATATTAGTTGTCAATCATCTTTTTTTTTTTTTGCAAAAGGGTGTTTCAATTTTTTTAGCCACCTATGTTATTTCAATTCAGTCCAAAATCCTATTATGAATTTTCACATTTTTTGGGATCCACTGGTAAATATTTCTCTTCCCTGATCCTTAGTTAAAATTCTTCCTTCTAATAACTACTCCTTAATTATTATTAATTTAAATATTTTAAATTTTAAATTTATAAAATTTAGATTTAAATGCAAAAATTTTGAATATGAAATAACTTCCATATCCCATGATGTCTATTATCTAATATCATATTTTCTTTGTTTCTAGAATTCAGAATTTGTCATATATTATATTTTACAATTATTTACGTTCGAATTAATTTAATTAATCAATATAATAAATATTTATATCCTAATAACTACTCCTTAATTTAAGTTCTCCTTAATTTTTAGGTCTATGTTTTTGGCTTCCCATGTTAACTTTCATATCTCATTTTAGTTTAACTTCCCTACACCGAAATTCTCTCAATTATCCTTTCTTCTCAAATTTGTATGTTTAATTTTAGGGTTAATATATAATTTAAATTCTGACTATAGGTTTAGGGGTGATGTGAACCCTAAACTTTAAAAAAGTGCATTCTAAATCCTAAACAATTAAAGTTGAGGTAATTTCACTCTACTGTTAGCTTTCAACAAACTTCCGTCAAATTTATTTAGGAAAAATTACACTTTTCACCCCAATTTGACAAAAGTTTGTTGAAAATTAATGGTAGAAGCGAAATTGCTCCAAATTTAATTGTTTAGGATTCAAAATATATCTTTTCAAAAATTAAGATTCAAATTGCCATTGACTTATAGTTTAGGGTTTAAATTGCATATTAACCCTTTTGTATTTTAAAAATGTACTCTAATAAATAATAATTCAACAGTAATATAAAAAGTATATTTTGCATATTATATTAATTTTAAAAAAGATTATGAAGAAGTGTGTAAGTTTTTTTTTTTTTTTGGTTTGAATTGACGGATAAAGGTAAAAATTTATAAAACAAAACTAAATACTTTTATGATAAATAAAAGACAGAGAAAAAAATGTATGAAGAGAAATTTATTCTAGATTTTTCCCTAACAAAAAATGATAATATTTTTTTCACCAATATTATTATAAGATTCCATTACATCAAAGAACAAACAAAAAAACAATTCTAAAAGAGTTTAAATACCATCCTTCAATAAAGATAAAAACACTATGAGTCAAAAAATTACTTCATGGCTGTTAGTAATTTTACACTTCATAAAGCAAGAGATTTCACGATGAAAAACAATTGTAATATGTCTAGATGCATCAATGACGTAGCATTGAACCTTGAATCTGGAAGAAAGGACATTGGAAACATTGAAAGATGGTTAAATTCTGAAAAATGTGAAGTTATGATCATATCACCAACACATCAAATTGGAGTAGAAACTACATGAGCAAAAGATTGTTGGAAAGAAAATTGAATGTGAAATTCTTCTTCTAAAAGGGATAATGAAAAGGACATGTGTACATGAGAACCACACCTTTCACAATTTGCAATGATAAATTGTACATCTTGGAAGAACTTGATGAAAAGCAAGGCTTGATTGGTTTGAAAGAGAGAAAGATGATGCACCCACTAATATAACCATAGTAAACTTGGAATTTATTTGAAGCACAATATGGCATAAACTTCAACAGATATAGTGTATGCAATAAACAACATCAGTGACAATTGATTTAGAGGATATAAAATTAAGTGTTAATATATTCTGAACTATAGGTCTAGAAGTGATTTGAATTTTAAATTTTTAAAATGTGCATTTTAAATCTTAAATAATTAAAGTTGAGATAATTTCCCTCACACTATTAACTTTTAACAAATATCTATCAAATTCATCTAGAAAAAATTGCACTTTAGGCCCCAATTTGAATGATGTTTGTTGAAAGTTAACGATAAGGATGAAATTATTTCAACTTTAATTGTTTAGGAGTTAAAATGTATCTTTTTAAAAGTTTAGGATTTAAATCACTCTTTGACCTATAGTTTAGGGTTCAAATTGCATATTCACTTATGGTAATATTATAAATTTTCAAGGATATGAGAAGAAGAAATAAAAAAGATAAATAATGATGATGATGAAACTATATAAAAGAAGGCTGTAAATTATAATAATGAGTAAAATAATTTTTTGTGGAAATTATGGTGGGTATGAATGAGATGATGTCGAGTTGACTATTTTTGTTCTTGTTGGGTGGGATTTAGATAGGCTATTAATGGCAGCAATAGGGTTTAACATAATCTTTCATTATAAGCACACTTTCCTGATCCCCATGAAGATTGTTTACATTATTGATTAGTTGTCATCTATTTATGAATTCATCATTAATCCCCATTGTTTTAAACATTCAATTTTTGGCCAAAAAAAATTCATATAGGATCAATAATGCAACCAATATAATATGAAGTTAGTAGAATATTATGATTTTACGCAATATCATAAATAATACTTATTTTCTAATATTTTGAGCTTTTGTGGCAATTTTATTTTAAAATATCATTATTGAATGTACTTTCTTCAACAATAATGTAATAATAATTGATAGAGGAATAGTTTGATAAAAAATGATTTACTACTCAAAATACTTTTATTTAATGTGATGACTTATTTTAAATGATTTAATATGAATATAATTTTGCATAATTTATATATATTTAATGTGTTGACTTATTTTAAATGATTTAATATGATTTGTTGATTGTTTATGTATAGGTACATACTTGTTAGTAGTTACTATAAAAAGAAGGAAAAAACTTACTCTCCAAATTATAAACATTTTTTAGAAAAAAATTTACATGTCCATAAAATTTTTATTTTTATAAAAATATAAATTATTTTATTTTTTTATTTCTATTCCCAATTACCATTACCAATATATTTTATGATGAGTGAAAGATACATTTAATCTAGGTTAATAAATATAAGGAGTAACATGAAAAAAATTTTATATGTACTAAGTTTGCTTATATTTTGAATTAAAATTAGTTGAGAAAAAATGCTTATATTTTAGATGACAGAGAATATATACTTAACCTTATATATGTTTAAAGTACTTATTTTTAATTAAATTAAAACATATGAATGTTTTTGTAAATTATTTATTTCATAACAAACTCTTATTATTAATATTATGAATATATTAAAATTCACATGTCTCAAATTGATTGTATAAAAATATATTAAATATATATAGTTAAGTGCAAAAATGTTGTCCTAAAAAGAATTAGGGAGTTAAATTATGACTTAGCCGAGTTAAATTATAATTATGAGATTTTATTAATAATAAAGAAAGAAATATTTATATTAAACATTTTTTAAGAAATTTTATTAACATTTTGTTAAAGTTTATGCTTGCTTAATTCTATGTTGTCCATTTCTTAAATACATACTATAATTTATATAAAAATATTTAATAATAAAATTAATTAAATCAAAATAATTATAAAATATAATATTCTTTATTTTAATTTCTAAGACATTTTTAGACAAAATTATAAATACTAATAAAGTTAGTTAAACACACTTTACATTCTTACTTTTTTAAAATAAAATATAAACTTTTAAAAAAAGCCATTAATTCAATACTCTATTATGAAAGAATGTTAAAGAAATAAAATATATGAAAAAGGTAAAATTAAAAAAAAACATTAATAATAAAATTTTCTTCTAAAATTATTTTATAATTTGAAAATAAGGGAATAATAATAAGTCATAATTAAATTATAACTAACAAGCATTACTTTCAGTGAAAGATTATAACCACTTTAACATAAAATCTCAAGTTCAAGTCGATTTGGTAAAGCTTGAATATAACCAAGTCAAATAATCATATTAAAAAATAACAATTCAATTATAAATTATTTAAAATACAAAAATAAATATAAGATTAGGCGGGGTAGTTATAAAAATTTTCAAACATTATTTAGGGGAAAATATTTTTTTAAAAAAAAAAAAAATCCACACGCCACAGGTGTAGCCAGAGGAAGACAAGACAAAACTCAAGAGCGAAGTCGCAGCAGGCATCACTTTATCTCATTTCTCCGCCATACATACCCATCTACTCTGTTCTGCCATGAACTCAGAAAACAAAACATGAACCTCATTCTCTAATAACGCCAATCTCTCTCTCTCTCTCTAAACTTCAACTCCGCCATCCAAAAATGTCAGCCAGCGCAAGCTTCCTGGGCTATGGAGGAGGAGCAGCCTCACTGAACAACATCCACAACTCACAGAAGCTGCAACTTCTTCAGAATGTTATGGTTGGAAAGAAGCTGAATCTGAAGACAGCGATGAAGAAGACGACGAGTGGTGGTGGGGTAGTGAGGTGCAGTGTAGGGATAGGAGACTTCATAGGAGGAGACTTGCTGAGGTTTGATTTGGGAAAATGGCTGTCTGATGTGGAAGAACACAAAGCTTTGGCCATATATTCTCCCCATGAAGGTGGCTATGAAGGAAGGTACTTGACTCGTCTCAGATATCAGGGTTACTATTTCCTTGATCTCTCTGCTCGTGGCCTTGGTGATCCTGAAACCACTCTCACCAAGATCCATCCTGTTTGTCCTGTGAGTATTTACTTCTTCTTCTTCTTCATCATTTCTTCATGTTTGAATTATATTCTCTCTAAGTGACATGGTCTTGATTCTTGATTGTTCAATCCAAGTGGGCACAAAGTAAGACAGGTGAGGACTGAGAAAGTTATTTGCGTTGTATTATTCTTATCTTTACGATCCATATCATGTTCCATACTCATCAAATGTATACATGACAAGTTACATGGTAATTTGTAAGGTTATGAGATGCTAACTTAAAAGATATCGGCACTATGAACAAAAAAATTAGTGCATGTAACTAGAATGCTATCTTGCCACAAGCATTGGTCCTGATAAAAAGAGTCATGGCTGCTTTAATACGAGTGAAGTCTTAATTTTGAATTTATATAAATGCAAAAAACATATTTGATAGAGCTACTCTTAATTAAGCTTGTTATTAACTCAATCAAATAGCTTATATATATAAAGAATGTCATCTTGCAACCAATAGATCTTTTTTCATTTCCTCCACAAGATGATCCAATAACCCCACATTTGGATGATGAAAAAATAGGGAGGAAAGAATAGGAGGAAAAAACTCTTGAAAATAGTAAAAAAAAAAATATTTATGAGAATTTTTCTTCATAGTTTTCTCTCGTCCTTATTTTCTTCTTACTTTTCCCTCCATCCAAGCCATGTCTAAGAGGGAACACTAGCTACATCTTATGTATAATGTAAATTTTAGTTTGTAATGTACAAAGCAATGTTGGTGATATCTGTTATTCATGATTACATTAATCATCAAGAACTGTTGTCTATGATGGTTGTTACTAAAGTTTACCTTCTTTTTATTTATTTTTTTGTGGTGAACGTTTCAGGCTCATGTTGGGAAGCAGCCAATAGCAAGGTGGTATTTTCCACCTGAAGTTGATTACAGATTAGAAGCACTTCCACCTGATGCCAAAGGACTTGTCGTGTGGATTATTGAAGCCAAGGTTGGGATCACAATCTCACTAATTCTACCCTATTTGTTAAATGTTTTTAGATAAATTAAATTATTACAAGGTGAATTCACCAAGCCAATTATAATATATATATATATATATATAATTCACCCCTAACTTGTGTTCATATTTCTTTATCATTGGCTTGTTCTACTATTGTTTTGTAATCCAAATTCACATTAAAAATTTTCTATTTTTTAAATAATTAAACAGAGGAGTAGTATGTTTACTAGTCAAATATATTATCATCCCTTTGTATCAAGAATAATTTTTTTTAAAAAAATATTTTCTGTGATGCTTTTTTATAATTATCACTTAATTTCCTAACACTTTATAATACCTAATACTTTACTAGATATGCTACAATATATGATAATGTTCGAAAATTGTGTTTGCTATAAATTTTATAATATATATTGACAGTGTTGATTTTCATCTATAAAAAACTAAATTTTTAATATGATCGTGGAAGTCATTTTAAATTTTTAAAATTATTTTTTCACTTTATCTTGTATTTCATTCCATTTCACTTCTGCGTGGTGGTTAATTATCATCTTTTGTTTCGGCTTCCATAGGTTCTTTCCAAGGCAGAATTGCAATTTCTTGCTCTACTACCTACACTTAGGCCTAAAGTGAGGGTCATTGCTGAATGTGGAAACTGGTAAATTGACATTCTTGTGTTCCTGTTTCTTTCCCTATTCACTTTTTTTTTTAAACTACTTGTCTAAAAAAATTGGTTATCTTATGAAAAAAAATATATTGGAGGATTAAAATACAATTTTTCCCATTTCTATATTGTTTTAGCTAAACCTTATCAAATACTCCTCTTGCTTCTTATTATAAGGCATCTGATAGAAGAATTTTTCAAAGAGTTATTTATTACCATTTTTAATTTTATCTCTGTTATAAATTTAATTTTATAATTTATTATATATTGTGTATCTCTCTCTTTTTACTTTTAATATGAATAAAGTTGAAAGCTTTTTTCATTTTAAGACATATTTAACAAGTTAAATATCATTCTTTAATCCTAGTATAATGGTTGAAAGTGTTTCATAATAAGGATCAAATAAAATATTATCCTTTCATGCCAGCAAGAGTTTCCTATTTTTGCAGGAGAAAGTTCATGTGGAGGCCTCTGAAAGAAATAGCTGGTTTAACAACCAGTGAAGAAGCTTGATCCACTGATAAAACATCACCATTTTTCATCAGTAAATACAAAGTACATTCAAGCCTGGTTAGAAGCTTCATTACTCTCATCTACAAAACACCAAGCTGTACTGAGGAGAAAAGAGAGGAGAGAGAAAGTGTGTGGAGATGATTTTTCTTTTCTTGTAAATATTAAGATTTTTCACAATCGTGAGTAATATAAATTCCATTCAAAGCATGAGAACATTCCCCCCCCCCCCAACATGATCATGAAATTCTAGTTCAAAAAAAAAAATTATTAGTTTTGGAGCATATAGATATCTATTTAATCTCTAAATGGCAGAAAATTTGACTTTCAAGAATTGATAAAGAAGCAACAGTTGATTAGCTACACAAAACTATATGCTATAAAAGAACACAATGAAACGTGGAATCCTCACAGGATTCCAACATATTCTATCAAAAAATGGATATACAAAAACACTATTTATAAATTTTTAAGGAATATCCTAATTAACTGTACAAGATCTTCAACAGTGATGCACAGGTTTTTCAAGCCATGCTGGTGGGTATGCTGAACTTTCTATCTGCCAACAAAACTGCTAGCCTCACGTAAATTTTGCCTGTAATTGATTCACAAAAATAATATAGTTGATGCAGCTGAATGACGAAAATACTAAATTCTTCTCTTTCCACGTCTACCAGTGTCTATGTCAACTAGTCTTGATGACGATGGTGCAGGTGCCGGTGCTTGCAGACCAACAGATTCCGGGATGTCAAGATTGACCCCCATAGATGGACCTGCCATTGCACGCTTGATGTCCAACTCATTGAATTGATGAACTTCAACTCTTGCTTTGTCAACCTGTTAATCAAGCATTCAGATTAGTGAACTAAAGAAGTGACTAAGAATTCCAACAGATAATTCAAACTACAAGATGTCTCCATTACTATCTCGATATGATGAATGGATGCATGCGCATCTGCAAGTCTCTTTTGCAGTTCTTCTGTTCTTTTGGCTTGAAACTCAGAATTCTCCATTTCATTTCCCTTTTCTCCTAATTCCTGATATAAACCTGAAAGGATCAGAAGGCATATATGTTTATTAGCGTATAGAGCTGAAAGTGATTCTTCACTGACTAGTAAAGAAAAGCGGGAATACAGATGAAAGAATATTATCATTGAAAAAGCAAAAGCAGGCAAATACAAAAGATATCATGGAACACACTAGCAAACATAATTCCAAACTAGTTTTTCTCAAAGACAGACAGAACATAGTTTTAGCATTCAAAAACTTCTGAAGGCTGAAGTGTGAGGCTAAGAAATACCGGTCAAGACAGAAAGCACCCAGATCTGAGTCGGGATATCATAAAGCTTTTTTGCCAAGGTCAACGATGATCTCAATATCTCCCTGGCCTGTACAGTATCATGTAATGCTAGTGCCAAACTGCCAAGGATTGTCAAATACTGAGAAACGAGTTGAAGATTCCCCAAATAACCATGTGTCAACTGCAATCCCCTTGCCAGGCGGTTCCTGCAACAAATTTGTATATTACTAGGTGGTTGGAGAAAGGTACATATCTGGGTGGAGACACAAGGCTAGATACATGAGAGATCTACTTTTGAGGATACTTAATTTGAAAATCGAAGGAATATCTGATTATACATGTATGTTGATTATTTTAAGAAACAAGAAAATATGGGATAGCTAGAAGGAAGTATTCCAATTGTTCTACAATATCTGGTTTTGCAACAAGCATAAGACATGGCACTTTGTCTTTATTGTTAGTATACCCTTTTCATGCTCGTGGACTCTGTATTTTCTTCCTTATTTCTCTATGTCCATGAAATACTCTGGAAGGCTTTATAATTGTCTTTCAAGACATTGTTATGATCTTGCATTGCTATGAAAGTTGTAACTCAATTAACCTGAAAACTAAAGAAATGATGTCTTAAAAATCAAAGAATGAAATTCATATAAAGATAGATTACAAAGCATATCAACTCATGACTCACTCAAAAAGTTCATACATTTGTAGCTGAACTCAATCCCAATTCTGCAGAAAATCTCTTTGCATAAATTTCAATCCTATTCTTTATACTTTTCAACAAAGAGAATTACCTCAACACGCACAAAAAAACCTCATGGGGTCAAAATTACCAAAGACTTACCTTGCTTCCTGCAGATCCTGCTGCTTCATCAATAAAAGGCCATAAGCAAAAAGGACACCCGTTTTCTCTCTAACTCCAACAAAAGAATCCATTACTCCATAAACTGGTCCAATCAAATCAAGAGCCTGCAGAAAAACTAATACTAAGTTATAATAATATATTGCACATGGGATTAAATTAATTCAAGTAACAATATTTAATGCCAAATGAAATTGCAGTCAGAGGCACTACTCCACCTGTGAAGAAGATTCTGCATCACCAATGCAGATGTAAGAGACAGCTGCATACACTTGGCACATAGCTTGCATTGATTTACTCTCTGTAAGCTGCACAAAACATGCATTCACTTTTGGATTAACATGAAGTCATCCCTATCTACAAATTTTAGCAAGCTCCATACGGTAGACCATAAATATGCCACCTATCAAGTGAAATCCACCTATGGATCTATCAAAATTACCCAAATTACAGAAGACGCATCTGGCTCACTAAAACTATATCACTTCTATGTTATACACATATATAATATATACCTTGGCTGCTTCAATATAATGGAAAGTAGCTTCATCATAACAGCCAACAGAATGAGCATACTGCCCCCGTAGCATCTCAATGATGCACTCACAAGCCTGTAATATAGTTGGAAACCGCATGAACAAAGTTTTCATCTGTACCAAAGCCTGAAAAATTTGCAAACGATATCATTAATATTTCCACTCAAAACTGGTAAAAACCCAATTTATAAGTTCAATAGCATATTGGGCAAACATATCATGAATCATAAAGCATATTACTGAATCGTGAATCGTAAAACACAGGGAGCATGACAGGAAGATTCCGAAAAAATCAATTAATTCAAGTTAGGTCTTAAGTGCCAAATTTCAGGATTTTGCAACTCAATCTCTCAATTTTGTAGCTCCATTGTGATGAATTTGCAACTTATATTCCAAATTTTAACAGAAAAAATAAATTTTTTTTATTCTTCAGCCATGTTAAAATTTGAAAAGTAAGTTGCAAATTCATTACAACGCAATTGTAAAATTAAGAGATTGAGTTGCAAATTTTTGGAGTTTTGCACTTGGGATCTAACTTGAATTAATTAGTCCTTTTGGGACCTCTTTGTCATTTTCCCTAAAAACATATCAGATCACAAAGCTGGTGGGAGCCTACCTTATAAATCCAATAGCGTATCAGTCAAACATATGGCAAATCATAAAGCATCTTATTGAATCATGAATTGTAAAACATATCAAAATATAATATTCAGTAATATGAGAAAAATAACATGAAATACAAAGTGTGACGTGTGTGTGTCTTTATAATCTGCACAGTTCTCAAGATAGCTAACCCAAGATCAAGAAAAGTACTTAAACATATAGATAAGCTATCAGACGATTTTGTAAGTAATTAATTCTAGAAATAATATCTAGTAATATCCTTGTTTACTTTCATCATATAAAGACACAAACAACACTTAACAACAATACAATACTGTCATGCCAACTCATTGTCCACGTGCATTTTTGAACTACAAACTTACGCTATTCAGGTATATTGGCTTGAATCACACCATTGATGGTCAATTCAGTTACCAATCCACACCAATGCTCATTTTGAATCAAACTCAAGTTGTGAATATAATTTTCATTACTATGTGCAATAGCACAAGATAGATATCACTAGAAGAAACCCAGCTAATATGTTGAATTATTAATTTATTCATAATTTTGTGAAATAAAATCAAGCCATCATGGCTATCATCCTAACAGTTAACAAAACATGGAAAACCAAAGACTAACACAAACCTCCTGTGCTTCAACAAATTCAGCTCGAGTGAGCTCTACAGCCACTTTGTTTTCAAGAAACTGCATCAATAGCATTAAATACACTCCAGCCATCCAGATGGCAGAATGTTGCAAGTCCACTTCTGCTAAAAAATGAAAACACAAGAAGATTTCTTATGGGGCCGTAGCTTGCATGAACATCTTGCAAACGCAAAAGGATAATGAATCTCACCTCTTGTAGCATCAGTTATTCCTAGCTTTACTAACTCATCTGCAAGTAACCATTCACTCATCAATTATATTTTAGAGAACTAATTGCTAAAACAAATCATGCTTACTACTTGACGATTTGATCACTTATTGCTTCCCTAGTTTATTTGACATAAATGACCTGGAAAATGGAAAAGATTTTTGGCAGGAATGATTTAATGGGAATAAAAGCCAATACCAATGTTATGCGGAAATTCTAATGAAAAGGACATGGCACACCCAACATCAAAATTCACCAGATGTGTTTTTGGACAGCTTGTTCACTTGAATTTTTATTCTCATCATGCCCACATCAAGCCTTAAGTATTTTGGATTTCTAACCAGAAGTAGTGTGCCTGCCTTCTAATGGTTTTCTGTTAAAGGCTATGAAATAAATTAAGAACGAATCAACCAAAAAAACAACAAAAAAACACAAAAGTGGCTCAATCCAGTAAGAGAACCTTGAATTATAGAGATTCCAGACTGTATACGCTTTCCACACTCTTTAAAAAGTCCTTTCGGTCGTCCAAATATAACTGCCATAAGATCAACTAGTGCATAGACAGCACTTTTAGGAAGCCATTCACCATCAATGGGAGGAGGTGCCAGCTGAAGCTTATCTCCCAGTGTCCTTCTAACATTTCCAAAGTATACTGGTTCAAGAGACTCTCGCCCAGTCAAACTCAATCCATTCATGCTCCTCAGCTTCTCCTCAATCAGTGCTTGTTTTTCAGATAGTGCTGCCCTTTCTCGGTAGTGAAGATCAGACCGGGAGAGACTTTGATTTAAGGCATTCAGCTCCTTCATCAGCTCTTGCATATGCTGTGTTTGCTGCATATCAGATTTCATGGCAGCATCCAATTTGTCTACATGGGGTGCAGCATTCTTGTAATCACATAACCTCAATCGATAGAATATATGAAGCAATTCGCTGTAAAAGAGTAGGCCAATGCATTGTTTTCTCTGACAAGTGCAAACAAACAAGGAACATATAAGAAATCAGACTAGATCTAAAGAAAAAAAGGCATCAGTT